TCATGCACTGCTATCATGATACTCTCTGTCGTTCACTACTTCTGTCACCGTCTGATTGTAGTCCGAAGGGGTTCAGAAGGTGGTGCATTGCAGTCTTGCCAAAGACCACAGCCGCTCATCAAAGTGGTCAATCTTTGACCACGTACTTCACAAGCGCGTACTGTGTCTGGGAATTGATCACAGTATACCATTGTTTTGACTACATACCTGTCACATCCATAGCACATTAGGAACAGAAACGCACACAAGACATCCTACGACGGAGTCTTCGAACGACAGATGGCAACACAACCTTCCTCTTCTGCTGCTCCACACTGTGCGTCACAAAGCCATCCACCACATGCCCGACACCAGCAACTGTGTGTCATGGCCAGCTTACATCCTATAACGCAGAAGTGAAAAAAGCTGGCATTGTCGGGAACCTAACATCATATGGTTCCATCCTCAAACAGCAACGTACAGCTTGTGATAAATACCTCATTTATGTCGATTGACACCGGATTGGCTTTGATGGGTAGCAGCCAGTTATCAGTTTGTATAACAGGAGTTGCTGTACCAGACAAAAAGGCATCCGCAAAACGTGGTTCAGCGACTGCCACGTAACCTCCCACACTTATCTGCCATGCCACAAATCACTACAGTAAAGGTGTTACTTATAAGATAGGCTATAATAATGTCAGGCATGCTCGACACAGAGTAAGACGACCCTCGTATATACCTTAGACTGCAATGGCAGGACATTTCGAGTCTCGTGCTTCTGAAGGAGGATCACGCAACACCTCGCAGACCCGATATCTCTGAAAACAACGACCATTTCTGACCAATAAATAGATCTATTGCGCACGAAAACATCGATTCGTACATATCCCCGAGGTATTACCCCAGAAGCAAGCATCGGTCGTAGCTTTTCTCGCTCTTCGTGTTCCCTTTCTTGCCCGTGTTCCCAAAACCCTTGAACGTGATGGGAACTGTTTTACTTTTTCGCACCGATAATAACCTGCACATCTCATCTATGTAATAGACACGCAATTTGTCTTATGTCTGCCCGTCAATCTCACATGCCTATGAAGACGCGGTTTTCAGTATTCCTAGGCACAGCATCATCAGTTTCTGGCACAATATCTTTTAACGCGATTCGACGCATTTTGTTCACAGCTGCAGCCGCTTGTTTGAGTCTCGAAGATGTCAGCATTTCAAGTTGAGCACGAAAAAAGCTGCGACCCATGTCACTCTTCCAAGCTAGCACGAGTAGACGACCAGCGTCAAACGGAAAATTGTCTTCGTGTTGCCTACTGCGCGCGCCCACACAATCTTTACTTCCTTCCTGATATCCGTAAGAAGTAATATGAAACAAAGCAGAGGAATACTAACACTGAATGCGAAGTCCTCCCCACATTGACAACTCTAGGTCTGGGCACCAAATGTTGTAGATGCCCGTAGAACTGTGCTTAACACAACAGCACAGTTGAGCCGAGAGGCAGAATTGTACTTGCGTACACGGCAATAAGGAAAAAACTATGGTAAATAGATCATTCACGTGCGCACATGTGGCGCGGCACAACCTATAACGGTATATGCATCGCAGCATCTATGGAGGCATAGCAATATCACAACAACCCCGACACGTGACGTCTTTTCCTGTCTCGCCTTCCTTGAAGGAAGTTCCTTCGTTCGCTCCCATTCGCTCTTTCCAACCTGCGAGTACTGTTGTAGGAGTCGATGATGAGGGCTCCTGATTTTCCCTGACTGTCTATTCGTAGACAAGCAGTTGTGCGCCACGCATTGTGCGTCGCCTTGTTCCAGCCAGGAACATGAGCATGCGTGCATGGCATTCATTGTAGTCAAGTGAACTAGACTAGCGGTCTTATCATTTCATTTCTCTAGTCTAGACTTATCCGTATTCAAGATAGTTCGAGTTTGATCCATCGGCTACCCTTGCGTTCCCTATATGGCCGGCAACGGATCCGATTCCTCCAATATACCTTCAAAAACATCAAGCTAGTCCTCGAGTGTTATTTGATCCGTTGTTGATAGTGGACGGAAATTACAAGTCCACTGCCGCTCGAATTAACGTCTTGTTTCGAGCGCATTCTTGATTCCGAATAGCCCTAGCTCGCCTTGACGCCTCTAGCGCATCACATGCCAGTTTTTCTAAGACGATGCGAAACTGCATATCCTACACGCTCTTCGTGGGACTCCTTCAATGGGTCCTCACCACAAACGGCCTGGTATTGGGGTTCGCCAGCCCCGACTCTGACAAGCTCGATTATCGATGTGCACTCCCGAGTGATGTTATCCCCAGACCTGAACGGTTGACCGATGACTCCGCTGATTTCGTTGCAGTAGATCCAAAGGACAAGCCGGGCGAGGTGAGATGTGGTGGAGAATCACGACTGAAGGCTTCAGTCTGAAGCTTGAGTGAGTATTTTTCCACCAGAAGAGCCATGTGTATTTCAGCCTGTGGTCGCTAATGTCGAGTATGCTACTATAACCAAACCTGGTTACGGAAAGTGGGTGTATATTGACGGTGTAGAAGTGAGGAAAGACTGGCACAGGAAGGGAGTGGCGACAAAATTGTTGACAAAACTATTCGCATATGTAATCTCAACTCTGCATACACTTTGATGTTCCTGTGTGACTGACCTCCTCTTTGGCAGATCAAAACGGGATGGCCTGAAATCACCGGGGTGTTTCTACTAGTGGACCCCTCGAATGCTGGTGCCAAGATTCTCTATGAGAAAATGGGTTTTCTTCCCCACGGTGAGAAAATATTTCCGCGCGAACTCCGCGAGTTTTTTTCAGGGACATCGGCGCATGATGAAGGCAAATACATCGTATACGACGGATATGTTTACAACTTTGATTCTCCTGCTGCTGCCAAGTTACCACACATTAATCCTCCGAAAAATATGCCGATGCCTTCTACACCTGATCCCTTCGTTGTGAAAACTTTTAACGATATTTTCGGCCACAAGACTGAATGAGCTCTGTAGAGTAAAGGATGGTCGATTACAGCAGACTACGCCAGCTCCATTGTGGTGTGATGATGATTTCTCGAGGCTTGACAACTCTGCTATAGTTGTCGCTTATTTAGACGAGGATTCGTGATTGATCCTGTCTACTTTTCTCTTTCGTATACTCATTATCAGACTTATTGAGAAATAGTCAAGAACTTATGAGATTACAAGATATGTCTGTGACGCGTCCGATGTTCGGTTCTGATCTGTGACGTTAATCGGGAAGTCCGTATTTTTGCAGCTCGTTACATTTCGAGTATCTTACGTACTTCAGGGGTTCTTATTTGGATCTTAATCTTCGGTCTATTCCGTCACTATTACTCCGATATGGATACGAGTCCTAGTAGAGAAAGCGATGTTGGGTTGCACGCGAGTCCGTCGTCGATAGCTTCTAATCGAGAGTCTGCAGGGGAGGAAACCGTGTCGCTACATTTATTGGCGATCTCGGTGGGACAGAAGGTGAAGGAGATTGCGAACACGGTGAAAGTGCGGAGTAGTGCTCTCGACGAAGTAACGGCACTGTTGTTGAGCTATGAGGAATGCCCGTTGGCGGAGGGTTCAGAAGCGCTTGAGCGATTCGTTGGAGCAGCATTGGAGGAGGTTAAGGAGGAAGTGTTGGAGCTTGTGGGACCGGAGACTGAGTTCGATGAAGTTGAAAGTGCGATTTATGAGCAATTTGAGAATTTGAAGAGTTATTTGGTCTTGGAGTTGAGGGCACAATCTCGAGGTACGGGGGAAGCAAGGGCCATCCGTCCGGCTAAGAAGGCATTACGGGGTCAACTGTGGGCTAGTTCTTATTCGCCTTTTGCTCTTAACCTTCCGGAACCGTTTCTGGAAAGAATTGCTCAGCGACGATGCGACATGATCAGAAGGGATACGGGAGAGGCCGAGAGATTGCGTGAACAAGTACGAGGTGGTGAGAGCCGATTGACGACAGACCGACAAGCCCACACTGATGAACCCAGGACAGGATCGACGGTGATAGCGGATAAATCTGAAGCCAAGGAAAGTCATGAGAGGATGGGTGAGGCTGTCGTAAAGGGAAGATATATTCCGATTGGCAATCCCATTGACATCTCGAGGGGAGGTGTATCCTGGGATTCGCCTGGGAAGTCAGAGGAGAAAGTTACCGATGTCTTACAAGGCCGAGAGCTGCTCAGAGAAGGAGAGAGGGAGAAAATCCGTAAGGCCGCTGAGGCGGGTCGTGCTCCTCCGGGTGGACCGTATAAGATCACGGGAACGACTCCACTGTCTCTGTTCAAGACCCATGTGTCAGTAGTGTCATCAAGTCGGGGGTGGAGCAAAGTTCATGAGTATTATTACCTCGCTCACCACATTGAGGCTCGACTGTGGATCGACGTCGTCACTGCGAATCAGAAGTTGTTAAAGGACCCCTTGCGCCGAGAGAGTTATTCCGAGGCCGTTGCCGATATTTGGCGAGCTTTAGAGAGAAGAGCTGGAAAGAATCGTGAGAGCGAGATCCTCCAGTCCGAGGGTCTGTCGATGAGGCAGAAGAAGGGAGAATGTGTCAGTGATTTCCTTCATCGAGTGAACGATTATAGATTGAGATGTCAGTGCGCTGGAATCGTCCAGAGGGATTCTCACTGGATTACGTTGTGCAGAGTGGGACTGGCCGATCAGTTGATCAAGAAGATTAGTTGCTTGACCACAGTGAATACGTGGGAGGAATGGTCTGAGCACGTTGAGCAAATGGCAGGAGATGATGCAGCGGGCAATCGAGTAGCTGAGGCATTTGGGATGGAAGCATCTGAGAATGGTGGTGTCTCGAAACCTGAAGGAGGGAATGATACGACTAGGGGGCGCCCGAATGCCGGAAAGGGACGAGCTGAGTTTCGAGGGAAGTGTTTCTTCTGCCAAGAGTTTGGTCATCGAGCCTC